TTTCGGATAAATGTGGCCTGTTCTGCCGAACTGTTCTAAAAGACACTGACAAAATGCAACTCTTCTTGGATGATCTTCAGGTTGTAGCGCTTATACCCGTTGATAATGATAAGGATAATACTGCTCTTATCGAATTGTCTTCCACAGTTTACTATGAGAATCTTCAGCTTGAGCTGCTATGGCTCTAGTACTCATTGTTGGATCGTCTTCGACCATTTCTAAAATGCCTTTCTCAGTTTGTAACATTTCAGGTTGAGCAGGTCTTCTAGCGTGACCTCCTCGTTGTTTTTTTAAATATCCTATACCACGGAGTCTAATAACTAAATTTACAAACATCCGTGGGGCCGGATGATTTCTTAAAGGAGACCTTTCCGCATACAACTTGGAGGCTGCGGCTGCATTTTGCTGGCACTCTCCGAATGTTAGTATTATGTCCACTAGTTCATTGTTTTCGTAATCATGGACCATTTTTCGCACAAAATAATCATATAAATGAAAGTATACGCACTATTAAGAGAAAAAGTTAGCCAAATTTAGATGAACGACATGAGTAAAAAAAATGCTAAAATCTTATACAGCAGTGGCCGAGAATATCAAAGAATCTTTGTAATAACGTACTTATCTTTTTAAACTTTTAATATTTTACTTATGCAACTTTTATACAATTGATTTTGGGGATATCAACTCCTCTTGGCGGGTAATACAGGCAGTTAAAATAAATGACTCAGTTTTTAAAAGCAGTGAACATAAATGGTTCCCTGTGGGACCCCACATTTGATAAACATATAGCAGATAGCTTTATCAGTTTAAGACCAGTCTTCCCTTTGATTCTGGATTAAATGTTGCGAAGCTATTCTACTGCTACTGCTGTCCAGCACAAAAGCTCTGCATTCGGGTAACTAAAACGGTACAGGGTAACACAGGTTTTGTGGTGTGTCCCAGCACATAACATATACAGTCAAGAACGTTTGGTCACGTGCTATACACAGGTCTACACGGTTGACTTATGGTTGCCAGATTATGCACGACCACCGCAAGCGACGTTGCCGGCTCTCTTATAACGCCATGTGTTATTAACATATTTTTGCTGTTTTGACAAGTAAGTCGCCACTTACTTGTTAAAGCAGCAGAGTCAATAACACAGCCCATTGAAAAATCAACCATATATCCTAGTTATTTGAGAATATATTTTTATCTAAATTTTATATTGTATGAACATATCAATAATATTTATGGTTAAAATATGTGTATTCCTGGTGATGGTCTTCTGCAGCATCTGCATGGAAAAATTGTTAAAATTAGTATGAAAAACAAATTATTTTCGAAAAGAAATAATAGTTATTATCGACTACAAGATTACTAGAGCTACCAGATTTGGCTTAAAAATTATAATACAGAAATATCTAAACACATTTCCATAATATTGATCATCAGTAAACTCATTTTTCGGACTTCCATTGTCTGTATTTTTAACGTTTCTATTAGTAAGTGTCTCTAATCGATATCAAGTGTGAAATGAGAACTTATCCTAAAGCCTACCTATTTTTATTAAGTTGTATGCGACCAAGCGTGAAGCTCAGCCTTTTAATTATACGAACCGTGAAGTTTTAGCCGAGGTTCTGCTTTAAGTAGGGATTTCCAAATGTTTGAGATTTCCACACTGGCATTACCAAAAATTCTGGTATTATTTTCACTAAATGGCATTAAGTTTTTCTAAGTTAAGCCAAAATTTGTAGTCAAAAATTAAGTAACTTTCATTATATTGAATATTTAAAACACACATGACAACAGCGCGTCGGTCATCATCACTCTTATCGAACCAGCAAAAAGTTGAAAATACAGACAATGGAAGTCCGAAGAAATGAGTTTACCTCTACGTTATCTCTTACCTTCAAACAAACATTGATAATAATCAGAATGGAAAAGTTTTATAGAAAATATGATTATATTTAATTCAGAATGCTTCGTTTGTTGATTACAATCACCTAGAAGAAAATGAGTTGTTCTCTTATGCAATTGAAAAAACAGGTTAGGCGTTATAATCCAGATTCCAAAGCTTATCAACTCAACAGAAAATGTATTTTAAATGAGAATGACTTTAATAAAATTTGTGGTTACCCAGACACAAATAAAAGAGAGGCTAACTAAAAATGACAGTAATAAGCCGCCATACTTGTCAAAGTTGTCATTTTTTTCTGGATGCCACAGTGTTGTCAGGTTGTGATACGGCAACACCGCACTGTTTCCCGTTCTCCCATATGAGTTGACCCCCATGGTGTGTGCCACTAGCAGCGGAAAAGCTTTGTTAACACAGGCTCAACAAACTGTGATGCCGGAACCGCACGCTTGCCAAATCGCCGCAAATCGTCACAAACGCAAACATGCGGATAGAGCGTTTGGCTTGGTTTGCGTGGGTTTGCAAGCGCTTGTAGCCGATCCGATCGGGTGTCGGTTTTTTGGTCGCAGATCAAAAGGAGTTTGCCACAAGCGTTTGTGACACATCCATTCGTTTCTGATAGGTACTATTTTTGAAACAAAATATCAATTTCATTAAAACAAATACCATTTACCTGGTACGATTCATATGAATATTTAACATCCACCACCTTCTTGGTCGTACTTTTCGTTTTATTTGACTTTTTTTTGGTTTTATAATAAAAATAGCTTAAGCCAAATGCTACAAGTTCGACGACCGTCATGTTTGCCTGTTACCTTTTCAGTGACGCACCCCCAAACGTGTGGACGGCGAGGTTTGCTTCTTCAAAAAAAATGGCAAGCGTTTGTAGGGGTTTGGAGTTTGCGGCAAATGGCAAGCGTGCGGTTCCAGCATGAAAGTTGACATCCAAGTAAAAACTGTCGCCAACCGGCAAATCTACTGACAGCAGCAATGCAGCAAAAAACTGGACCGCTTTAAGTCATCTGAATGCACTCAATAACGAATAGAGGACCTCCATACATTTACTTTACTTTCAGTAGGCCATTCAGTGACCATAATAGGCACGTACCGTATTTTTCAGATATGTTGTCCTTGAACCGTGATGACCGGCATCACTAGCTAATTATAAAGTAATATTCAAAGCGATTATTTATCGTTTCAACGGGATATGCCTGTTACTCGCATACAGATGCTGAGTTAGAATGTGGTTTTTCGGTCACGGATTTGTTATACGATTATAGTTCGACACACATTCGTAACACTTTTAGATGTAAGTGTACGGACGCTTATATTCCGATACCTCTGATCACTACCCGTGCCACTAACGTATGTCCTAAAAGTTTTGGCATAAAATTCATTGGCTCTAATTATAACAAACACAAAATAATATCAAGTTGTCTTTGGAAACAAAAGTTTGTTTACTTACTTTAATGCTATTTGACACTTACTTATTTTGAAGTTTTCGCTTTAAGATGTATAAAATAGAAATAAGAAAAAGTATCTACAAGTTGGCTGTGTGGGTTCCCAAAGCTGAAATCTGTCAAATACACCAGAATGAAAATATTACACGCAGAACCATTGTACCAACAGATAAACTTAAGTGCCCCAAGTACCCTCAAGCGCAACTCCTACCAATGGAAAAATCATTATTTTAGATGACAAAAAGTATTTCACTTTGAGTAATTCTGAAATGAAGGAAAACGACCAATTTTATACGGACAACGTAGAGGAATGCCCTGACAATGTTAGATACAAACATAAAGCGAAATTTGCAGATAAAATCCTTGTCTGGTGCATAATTCCTAACAGGGGTGTATCTCAACCTTTTGTGGGAAGAGTGAGAGATGAAGCTTGGAATAGTCAGAGCTATATTTATAACTGCTTTTCCAAATTGCTTCAGTTTGCCAACGACTTCGACAACACAACATACCTTTTATTCCCAAAAACGATAATCCTCCAAACTTGCCGCAGGCTCCCCCAATAGAGGATTTTTGAGCTTTACTGTCTAGGAAGATTTATTATGGAGTCTGGGAAGCCCAAGATGAAGAACAATTAAGACGACGAATTTACGAAAAACTAAGTGAAATTGATCTGAGTTCCGTCCAGGACCTCATGAGAGACATTCAAAGAAAGTTACGTATGGTAGATCAGAATGGAACACTCCACATAATTCGATAGTATAGTTTGGTTAAGTGTTGAGTTATAATTTATGATAACAAGTGTATAAATAAATCTCTATATTAAAAAAAATCTGATAAATATTTTTGTCAAAACTTTTAGGACATACATTACTATGCATAGTTGCTATACGTGAGTTATATATATGGATTAAAACGTTGATGTTTTTTTCTGAGTACAGCATTACGATGGCCCCCGAATAATACTCTTTAAATACACCATATATATTATATATAATATATAATGCCCAGAAATAACTTTTTTGTAACGCTTTACCTGAAAGAAATGTATTTTTTTACTCCGATAAAATTAGTTATTTTTGCCTATGTGTGCAAAACTATTGTTGTTCGAATTGAGATACGCATATCCTCTAATTTTTTTCCATTTGACTCTAATAACTCAAAAAATAAATATTATTGCGATGGGGAATGATAATCCGTGCCGACTTTCGGTCAAACCATGCCATGACTGTATGGATTTCGAAGCTTAATTCTCATTCAACAAATAAAACACTGCTTTATCTGCATCTTACACTTTTTAAATATCAGGTAACCAAATAAGTTCGTGCGGTTGCTGTATAACGCTTATTGCCATGGATGTTGTTGATCGATAGTTACCTGTTGTCACTATATTATGAATCCTTCTTTTCTCATACACATAAAAAGTTTCTGAAAATTGTTACATACCTAGTTTTAATAATTAAAAATGGCGACGAATAAAACAGTTATTCGAAGTTGTTTACTTTATGAGTACAAACTTGGTACAAAAGCTGCAGCTATGGCACGAAAAACATGTACCGCATTCGGAGATGATGCTATTAGTGATCGAATAGCACAGAAGTGGATCAAACAATTTTCTTCGGGAGATCTCAGTTTGAGCGATGAACCGCGCTCAGGGAGACCAAAAATCATGAACAACAAGGATCTTCGACAGGTTGTGGACGCAAATTCCAGGACAACGTGCCAAGAACTTGCAGAAATGTTCAGAGTGAGTTTGAAACTATTCGTTTGCATCTTCATCAGCTAGGAAAGACGTGGAAGTTAAGCAAATGGGTCCCACATGAATGATAACAAATTAAGTCGTCTTACCATTTGTTCAGCAAACATTTCACGCAACGCTAATGAACCATTTCTTAATCGGTTATTAACCTGCGACGAAAAATTGATCTTACATATATTCGACTTCTAAGCGTTCGTATCATTGGTTGTCGCCTACTGATTCGGTACCACACACGCTCAAGGCTTCCTTGCACCCAAACAAGGTTTTGTTGTGTGTTTGGTGGACAGCAACTGGAATTGTCCATTATGAGTTTTTGGAAAGGCGTCAAACCATCACTGCTAACTTGCATTGTGAGCCGCTTCAACGAGTACAAGCAGCACTCATTCAGAAATAGCCTTCTTTGATCAATCGGAAGAAAGCGATATTCTTGCAGGATAACGCCAAGCCTCATACCGCAAAAGTAACCCTAGAAAAAATTTCTGAACTCGCCTAGGAAACGTTATCGCACCCGCCATATTCTCCCGACATTTCGCACAGTGATTATTACCGTTTTTTGTCTCTTGACAACTGTATGAGGCAGTGGCGGATTTAGAGGAGGCGTCTGACACTTGCTTTTGTAATATAATACCATTGTGTTACTTTCTGACACATCATGGCGACAGAGGCATACTAACTATAAGTTATAGCTATAAGAACTGAGCATTGCGATTTTTTGGTATCCTTTGGTATTCCAATCTTTGACATCATATGTTTACAGCACAATTATTACGACTTATACGTATTGTGACTTGTGACAAATCTGAGTCTGGGTAATATATTAGCTATACCAATTGCGTTTAACAAGTGATTTATTTTCTGTTTGTTGCTCTATAGTAATTTGACAAGTATGTAAAGCTAGATTGGAAATAAACATTTATGAGATTTGTTTAGCGGTGCGCCTGTGGCCTGACCAGAAACTGCGTCGATCGATGCTCAACGTCAATATGACTCGTCCCGCATCTCTTCTCGCGTATGTCTATTTATGTTGCTATATTGAATTCATTCAGATCTGCTGCACTATACGTGAACGTGTACAGCCCTGTATTCCTGTACTTGTTTCGTACAAACATTCATTATCAAAATAATTACGATGTAACAGGTATAGTTTTTCCAAGGATTATCAACATTTTTACATGCGATCAACACCGGTTCGAAAACTGATAAAACAACAACTATGTCGTAAATCTAAGTTCGAAAACGAAAGTCTGAAAAATAACTGTAACATCTATGTTGAATTTCAAAAACCCCAACTCCTACTGAGCGGGGCCGTGGTAAATGATTGTTCCGGAAGTTGTTGTATCCAGCTTACAACTTCTTACAGCTTACTAAAATTATAATTCGAACATATTTTGGTCCGTGCAAATCGCTGTATTAACTCTGAAGGATACTATTACGAATAAAATAAATTTTCCGATACAAAAAATGTTTGTTCATTTTTTCTTTGCCTTTTTATTTTGCGACAGGCCTTTTATATCGGTTTTCCATAATTATGAAATGTCAAAGGTACAGTTAGTCGATATGTTTGCCTGTTTCATACAACACTGATACGTAACTGCCAAGACAGTTTTTGCTAGTAAAAACATTCCTGTGGATCGTCAGCCTCCTTATTCGCATGACTTGAGTCCTTGTGACTTTATTCTCTTCCTGAAGTTGAAATATCACCTTAAGGGGATTTTGGGACAGTCGAAAACGTTGAAACGGCTGTAGCAGACCAGCTGAGGGCTATACACTACTGAGCGGGGCCGTGGCAAATGCCTGTTCCGGAAGTTGTTGTATTCAATATACAACTTCTTCCCGTTCAAGTGATTGTACACGCGTTAAGGAATACCTCAGTACCGATTGCCGGGTGGCGGTACAAGTCCGCCAACGGGCCACTTTAGGTCTATTTAATATCATTAACACGCAAAAAGAAGGTGGTAGACAAGGACCAGTCGACCGAGGCGGTACCACCAGCTACCCTTTCCCAGGGTGTCTTATAAATGTCCGCATGTTTCCACATCTAAGCTATGCAGTCGGTTATCTTCCGAAACAAAGAAATTAATGATGATGAATCCATCGAGTACTAAGAATTCTTGACGTAAACTCACTCCACTATCGGAATGTCCGGATGGAGGGTGGACTCGAAGGAACAACATCGAAGATAAAATTTGTTTCACGAACATTTGCGGGATTAACAGCAACATTGATGCTGTTCATCACTACTTGCTATCCAATCGTCTCGCCATGCTTTTCTTGGCGGAGACAAAAATCTCAGTGTCCCCACCGATTAACCATCTTAGCTTCCCAAATTACAAAGTGTACGACAAACTGAGGAAGAACGGGTTAGTTGTGGCCTATGTCCGCAGCAGTCTTTCCTGCTGGAGAGATGTTTCTCTCGAAACAGACGGGAAGGACATTCTGTGGCTTCGCCTCAACTGCAAATTTATTTGCTGTCTTTATCGCTTTCCCTCGGACCATAACTGGGATGACCTTGAATTCCTCACCGGCAAGATACACTTCTTGAACATCAATCACCCCGTTTCAGAGGTAGTTCTTCTCGGTGATTTTAATGACCGTAATTTGCTTTGGTTTGGGCTCAAACACGACCGATGCAGCAGGTCGTGCAGTAGAAGCATTCGCTCTTACTCAAAGGCTGACCCAGCTGGTGACGGGCCCTACTTTTTCCCCCGCGTCTCGTCACATGCCAGTAGCCTGCTGGATCTCTTTCTGACCACACATCCTGTCCCTTACAGCACTGTCCTGTCCCCCTGTGTAACTCAGTCCACTGTGTTGTGGAGGATAGGTTTCGGTCAAAACCCGCTGTGGCAGCAGAAACTCGCACAGGCCGCAAAATTTGGCATTACGGACATACTAACTGGGAGGGACTGAGAGACTTCTTCTCTACCTTTCCTTGGATAAATGTCTGTTTCATTGACGTGGATGCGTCGGCTGTCAGTTCTTCGATAACCGAAATTATCCACGTCGGAATGGAGGAATACATCCCTCATACACTGAAAGTGCCTAAAGCAGGGTCCAATGGCTGGTTTAACAAATCGTGTGACACTGCTCGCCAGCAGAAGATCGAGACACACTGAACCTTTTTACAAAACTCCACTGTAGAGAACACACAAGCCTTCGTCGAGTCCAGAAACAAATATAACGAAGCGATTCGCAATGCCAAAAACCAGCACGATAAAAGAGTTAGGCACTGGCTAATGTCACAGCGCAATGGTAGTCGGTCTTCCTGGACGCTGGCCAAACAGATTGAAAACAACTTCTCACGCAGTAGCCTCCCACCACTTACGTGTCAGAATGGAACGATTGTATCGGACTCAAAAGCCAAGGCGGAAGTGCTTGCCACGATCTTTGCTCTGAACTCCAACGCCCAAGTGCCGTCAATTTAAAGGGCTCCCTAGACTCTGCAGGAGGTAGCATTCAGGCATTCTGGCCCGGACTTGATTCCTGCCATTGTACTGGAGAGATGTGCAGCGGAGCTTGCTCCAGTTCTTTCGCGTCTCTTCCAGATATCTTAGGAATCTGGCACCTTCTTAGAAAACTGGAAATTCGCTCATGTCCAACCCATCCCAAAAAAGGGATCTAAGATCTACCCTTACAACTACAGGCCTATAGCTCTGCTTTCTGTTATAGGTAAGGTGATTTAGAGGTGATTAAATCGCGAGCTTCTGGACTACCTCAAATGTCACCGCTTAATTAGCGACAGGCGGTATCGTTTCCGGCACAAGCTATCCACAGGAGACCTCCTAGCTTACGTCACGCAATTGTGGAGTAGACTCATCCAGTCTTATGGTGACGCTTGCTGACACGGGACAAATGTAATATAGAAATTTTTGACGGAGAGAAAGGAGTATGACAATCAAGGAGGCCATAAACGCGCCCTACAATTGTAGGGACGACTGAGGATACGGGCCTAAATCCTTAAGTCTAGTAGACCCCGTCGCGCAATTTGTCTATGGGCAGTCTGGAGACGGTCTCAATACACGATCTATATATGGTCTGTAGACATCCTTCTTTGTCTTGTCTAGCGTTCATACGATTATGTGAAGTTTTTGGTCTCATGTTATATGATATACCTGCCTGTGTTCTTGAACCTACGCAACGTAATAAAAACTGTTTTTGTTCCTCATCAGCAGCGATTAAGCCAAGGAAGTCTTGCATTAACTTGACTGCTTTTTCTGCCGTATTGTTAACTGCTCTCAGTGTTTGCACCTTATATTGTGTGTGTTAAAAAGAATCAATATGTGGCCATGAAATTGGATACTCTTCGGGAAAAGTGTCATCAATTTGGAATTGACCGAACAAGGACTTGCATTTCATTGAAACACGGTCAACGATATTTTTCTCTGAAATGAAAAAAATAAGAATAGCTATCATCTAAACATACTGGTTTTGTCCCTCCGAGCACAGACAGTCAACCATATACAGATGTTTTGTGCTTTTTGGCAACTCATCAGCATCGTCTAGGCTTTGCCTCAGGTCAGGACATTGAACGAAAGCATGGCAACTAACCTCTATCTGAGCTATAAGATCTATCGAAACAAGACAGTATAAGGTGCCATCTATTGCCAGAATCGCAGTTTAGCTGGATTATATCAACAGTTAACAGCATATTATATCGAAGGAGTAAAAGAAGACAAAGGGAAATTTACTCGTCAGCTTTACCATAAAGTGGGCCAGAAAGTTCATCTTTCGATGGGATGTAGCATTTATCGTGAGATGATGGACTTTCTTTGGCTAAATTGGCAACAATTTTCACTTCAGTTTCCTCATCTACGTCGTCGTCAAACAAAGATAAGACAGAGACCTTATCTGTCAGATACCATAAATGTTGGCAGAACTTTTGTAAAATGTTATGAATCTTAAATTTTTTCTGTGTCTCCGCCAAGGAATATTATTGTAAGTTCTATTAATTCTCGATGGTCGTCTCTAGCAACTTATATGGTCAATTCATGTCGATAAAATTCTAGCAGCTTGTTAGTCTCTGAAATATTCAGGGATGATAGTATAAATACCTATGTATTTTCTCAGGATACAGCTCTCGTGAAACTTTTTAAACATTGGAATGTTAGGGCTTGTAGTCATTTGGTCGATCTTTGATTCAAGCACGCCTTTTAACACCAATTCGTAGTCGTGCTGGCGGCAAGCAAAAATAAGCAATTTTTTTATGTTTCTGTTCGAGAAGCACGCAGACACCGTTAATGCGACCCGTATTTGAAGCAGTAGTATCATAACAGAGAATCTGAACTTTATCTTCAAGATTCTACCCAATAATAGAATCCCAAACTGCCTGAGCCTGCTCGTTGCCTGAAGAGTTAGTAAGTGTCTCTTTATTTTCATACGGTTGACGTTCTTCTTTTAGCTTGCGTGCATTTAAAGGTGGCCACAATTTGCCATCCCAGTGGACAGTTACAGTGGCCGGTAAATCGCTTTGAAAATCAAGCTTTATAACCTTTCGCTTTTCGGTACGAATTCTTTGAAT